ATATATACTTATATAAAAAGTCATCCTATTTACCAAAATTAGTAGTAAGAAAAGTCAAAGGTAATTAATGCGTTCTATTTTTATCAAGTATTTTATTTAATTATTTTATTTAATTGTTTTATCCCATAACACATCTTCAATACAACTTATCATGATTTTTCTATTGTTATTAAAAACCAAATTTTATATTTAAAATATTGTGAAATTATTATTTTTATAAAGCACATATTATTAGTTAAAAAATTATATATATATATATATATATATATATATATATATATAATACACACCACAGTACCATGATAGGTGATTTAAATTTCAACCGAACAAAATGTCAATGATTTAAATTTGAACACACCTATGTGTTTGACTAAATGTCTGGATGATTTAAAATTGAGCCCATAAAAAATTATTTAAATTTAAACACACCAGAAATTTTATGTATTTTTTATTTATAAAAATATTGAAAGTGGTATTTAATGGCCATTATATAAACTATTTTAATATAATTGCAATGAATACAAGTTTGAATGAATAATTTGTAATGTTATTCATTATGTTTGTGACTTATGAGACACGAACATATAATTCCATACATATTTGTCAGAAGACGGCTTAATAATTTCCATAGATTTTTTTTTATTATATAATAAAATAATTATTAAATAATATATAGTGAACAAGAATAAGTAAAACTATTATTTTCTCTTATATCAAGGGATAAATTTATATGCTAAAATTAAATTTTTATTTCTATAAATGTTTTAGTGAGATAATGTATTAATTATTTTACAAATTATCCCTAACATGCTCATATTTAATGTTCTGGCTAAAAAAAAAAACATTGGTTAAAAGATGTGGAAACTTATAACCCTATTATTTTCAGACTTAACATTGATTAAAAGAGGTAGAAAATAGATGAATAATCATATTACATTTTAGACTTAAACGAAAAACGCTATAAAAATAACTCATTTAATATCTCTGTCCCGTGCATCGCACGGGGTACGTATTAGTTCTATGAAAACAAACATAATCAACATAATTCTATGCAAACAAACATAATCAATGAGCGACAGTTCCCAATTATGATTTTCTTACGTTATGACTATAAATAAGAATCAGAGAGAATTATTATCCCAAGTTGGTTTGGTTTTGAAGGATAGTTTCATGTTGATCCCATATCACCAGTCGAAACGGTTTGAAAATATTAGTTTGTGGTGACGATAACTCCAACAAATCAAACAAAAAATATTTTATAATAAAAAAAAAAATTCAATAATATATGATATAACTTTCTCAGGTTATTGTCTATTGTCGAACTGTCAATTATTGTCATATGTATAGTAACTCTTTCACAATTTAATATCCTTCAAAATTTTAAATATTTCACTTTAAATATATTGTCTCGTGCATCACACGGGTCACGACTAGTAATAATAAAAGGAAGGGCATTTTGTTTAAAAGCAATATATGTTAAGCAACTATTAAACGAACATTTTTAGTTATATGGCATTTCTTTTTGTAAACAACAAACATTTATTAGTTAAAATCAACAAGCAAGCCGAAATATTGGTGATCATTACGTTCAGATAGTACGTTTCAATCACAAAAATGAATATTTACTTTTGCTCATTATTTACAAGCAATCCAAATATTTCAAATCATCTGAAGTTAGTGCAAGCAATGCTCATTATCATACCCCCAACGCCATAACCTAAACTACGATCTAACAGAGTGTGTTGTAAAAGGGAAAAATATGGTATAAGCAAACAGATATATATCTACATAAGCACAGAAATAAAAACGAATGTTTATTATAATCACGATTCTGCTTGCTCGGATTTCACGGAGGGCATGTAAAGACTGTTGGCAACTACAGAATCTTTAACCAAGCCAACATCAACATCGTCAAAATTGAGGCTTCCTCTCAGCTTCCGATTTCTGATAACAAAGTAATATCGAGAGTTTGAATCGACATTATGCAGTCAGTACATTGCTAACAGATATGTTTCTACTACTTACCCATTCAAGCGGTTATTAATGGTTGTCAAATCTTTCGAAGGGCTCTGATATGCACGAGTACTTTCTCCCACACAGGCATAGTAGCTTTTAGAGTTATGTGAAATTAATGTGTCCATCTGTAAAATGTCATACGTCAATTATGAAACATGCTTCCTTACACAATTGCAAGAGAAAACAGAAACTTCTAGAAGATTTCCATGATCATTAGGTAAAGTCAGCAAAATCTCAAATGTGTTAACAGTTCAGACCTTAGATGATCGCAATGGAGAGACATAAACGTTGTGTCCTGCAGAGACTTTCTTTGGGGACATATCTGGGAGATTTGGAAATGGAGATGTCCTAGGTGATGTTGGGGATGGTCCTGCTTGGTTAAATTACATCAATATTAAATTTATATAACATGAACAAACAAGCACGGTTTTTCTTTTTCTTCTTTTGGCACAGAATTTGAACATAAATCGGGCTGAAGTAGATTTGACTAAGAAGACTAACCACCAATGTTACTGTTAGCCTCTGAGGTATGCGAATTGTTCGGTACTGATCCACCAGAGCCAAGCTCGACTAGAAGAGGTTTTACGGCAGGAACAAATACTTCGTTGTAAAATGTGATGATATCAACATGGTCTGGACTATTTTTCTGTTAACACAAATAAAGAAATTAAAATGATTAAAGACTGCCAACAGAGCACCAATACAAGAGGCAAGAAAAAAAAATAAAAAATTACCCCATTGCGACGTAGAGCTGTCCAACCAATATAGATGCTGCGAAAAACTTGTGGTTTGCAGTGAGGTTGTTTTCTATAATTGAAAATGATTTCTTTGAATGTCAGGTTCAGTTGGGAAACCTACGGCACAGAACCAATTATAAGAAAAATAGGAGAGAATCAATTTATATATAAAACAGGGAGAGGCTTCTTGAAGCAGACCTTAGCAACTCCATAAAAGCAGCAGAGAATAATTTGGTCAATATGTCGGTTGAAGAATAGAGTTGTGTGCTGATCAAGGATCTTTTGAAAGAGACGGTAAACATTCTCTCTGATATGCTGTGAAAGCTGAAGTCTTTCCACCATTCCATTAATTCTAACAGCAGCTAACTTCAGAATCTAAAAGAAATTAAACAACACCGATAAGCCCAGAAAAAGAGGATACAAGACGGGAAGGCATGCTACATGAATGTATTAATTTATGCTGTTCAGTAAGGCAGATATCGTAGTTGAAATTTCGTATTACAATGGACTGTAATCAAAAGATCCATCATCCTACGAAAGTTGGTCTTAGCATATAGCTTAGTACTGTACTCTACTATGATACCAACTTGCAAAGCCTCTCAAACAAAATATAACCAAAATGCCAATATCAAGGGAAAAAAGTTCAACGCCCCAACCAAGCAATTAATTATTCAACTCTTATTAACAAGAAACAATGAATCAAATTTTCACATATTTCCATAGCTACACAAAGCCACTGGAACACTTTGACCAAATAATATGTGAAACCCTAGCAGAACTGTATAATTTATTACAATAAAAAAGGTCAACAGCTAATTTACCATATACCTTACTGAAAAACACATTGACTGCTGTTTCTGCACATGTTTCCCCTCCGCCACCTGGGTTTTGCCTTGTGGGACTAAAAGCAAGTAGATAAATATACTAAACAAGAAATCCATGACAGCAGAATCTATATAGATTTTTCCTTCTCCTTCAACTACCAGAGTAAATACCTGGCAAATGCAGACTGAACATGTGTAGGAATCTTAGATTTCAGATTATTCATGGACAAACCGCGATCCTTCACCGGTGAAGTGAAGGAGTTCCGCTCAACCAATACACCCTGAGGCTCGCTGCAGACTCTTTTTGGGGAGCGAATGTCTCCATTGTGGCCTGGAAGTATTATTAGGACAAATGTCAGTTTGAGGTATATTTTAATTACCCAAAGAGTACACACACAGTTCAAACAAACTTCATCCTAACTTAAAATGTACGGACTTGATTAATACTTTAAAAAGGCAACAAGCTTTGTCATAATTTGGAAAATGCAAAGTCAAAATAATCCATTACCATGCAGTTCATGTGTGGGAGATAAAACCCCACATGACATTTCGACATGCAAAGCAATTGCATCCAAAGAGGGCATAGGGTCAGCTATCAAGCCCTGTCGATTTATCTCTGCAGAAAAGGCTGGTCTAGCTACCGTCAAAGAGTTGTACATAGAAGAGCCCCTCTCCCAAACCATGCTCTCCAGAAGTCGTTCTTCCATAGAATTGAGGTGCCTCCTTAGTTCCCTGGGGAGACTCTCCTCATGCCTAATGAAGCTTTCTATCACCTTACTGAGATCAAAAGCAGTTATCCCTGTTCTATCCAAAACAGTTGGAAACAACATGGTAACGGTTTTGTGTGTTGCGAGAACAAGCTCGGCGGAACACGCGAGCATACACCTGTGAAACCTCTCGTTTGTCAGCAAAGAAGTTAAATTATTTCCGTTCAGAATTTGTGACTCCGCTGTGCATATTGCTTGCAGAACCCTGAAGTAAAGCTTCATTGCCTCCATTCGACGTTGTTCGGCCCATATGTTGTCCATCAAGCTTGCACTTTTCCCAGCTCCAATTCTTGGAAAGATGGCCTCAAGAATTATTTGGGCCCTCCTCATTACATCAGCTGTCACATCCCAGTCGCATGACGAAAGGAATCTGTCCAGTTCGTCTGAAGGCTTACTAGGTAGTGGAGCAATAACTGTTCGGAGCCATTTGGCAGTTGTCAAGGCCGTACTGACAGGAGTGGCTGCTAAACCACCAATTGGATGACGTAATGGAGAGCGGAATGGAGATAATGGGGCGCTTGTAATTGTTGTCTTCGTTGGCGAGGTTATTGAGTCAAGTTTCCTCTGAATTGTAAGAAAAAGATGAGCATGCACAGTTATGAAAAATTAAGGCTTCAAAATCTCTTCGATATTTTTTAGCTTTTGAAAACCAACCTTAGCTCCAGTTCCATCTATCTTTACAACACCTCCTGACAAGCTCCCTGAACCTAGCAAGCTGTCATTCTGATTGATAAATATCCTCTCGTCCAAGTCACCATTAGTCTGAATAGCAGCACTGTAATCTTTCTCAAGCAAAGCTATACTGAATGTTAATAATGTTTCATCCATCAAATCATCAAAATAGATCAAGCCATCTGCACAAGGGCATGATAAATATTAAGCAACAATGAACAGTATGCTAGAATGAAAATTATAATACTTCCTCTGTCTCATTTCATCCCACTTCTTCACTTTTTTTGTCCCATAATAGATGTCTGTTCGTAAGTTTGAGGGGTGATTTAATACTTCATACTTGTTTAATGTCTATTTAATGACATTTTTCTCCAATTTTAAAATAGATCGATGTTGAAAGTAGTGTAAATAATAATACAATAAAGTGTAATTATTTTGTGTATTACACGATGCAAATTTAAGGCACTTTCTTAATACATGTAAAAAAAGAAACAGGACTAAGGTTTGGGACAGAAGGCATGCATACTTCAAACTTAGTAGGACTAACCTGTCACAACGTTTTTCAAGTTTTCATGGTTAGATTCAGAAGCCAAGCAAGGTTTCTTCTTCAATATTTCAGATACCAAATTGTTTGCTTTCTCCAAAGTTCTCCTTAACTCATCTTCTGAAGTTTCATACATATTGCAAAGGGATGCCAGAATGTCAGCCTTGTCACCTTTCATAACTGAAAATAAGAAAAAATTGTCAATTATATTCAAACAAATAAATGACATGCCAAAGAAAGAATAAACGGCCAAAAGAAATACAGATGTTGTCTCATGGTATAAACAAAACAAATATATACCATGAAGCAAGACTCACCAATGCGTTCAGGATCATTGACATCGAAGTTTCTTAAGCGAGCAGGAACATGAATTAGGAGTATCGCCTGCCAAGAGAAGTATATGAACAATCAGTTTTGCATCATAAGGTGAATGTAAAATTTTCCTGGGAGCTAGCTCTATCTAAAAGACAAGAAAAAATAAAAAATAAAAGCATTAAAAATCACTTACCAATATGGAAACTAGACCATGAGTGCATGTTACTAGGTCCTTGCAGAAGCGAAACACATGCACACGAAGAGCCAGAAACAGTAACCATCCAAACCGATAATAATCTGACCGGACATCAGATGTATGGACATTATTTAAATGCTTGTCATTATTTGCATCGACTATCATGAACAGATCTCGATATGCACGCTCATACTTCCTGGTAGGAGAGGCAGCAGGAATCCATTTAAGACTATATTAAATGGAAAAAGTGCAATTCAATCTGCAAATTAAATTAACTATCCAAACAATGCAAATATGAACTGGCTAACTGCCACGACCAGCCATATGCAAAATTTTACTTCTTAAGTTTGAGCATTCTGCTTCTGTCTGAAGAAAAATCTGCCTCTTTACCATTCTGAAAAATGTATGTACTCAACTCCTGGTTAGGATTGACCACCACGGTGGATTTGTAACATTTACACTCTTTTATAATGATGCAGGTCGCCAGCAATCCCATGTAATAGAGAACATCAACCATGAAATTCCCCTATCTAGAAGCAAACTTATTTCTGAAATTTAAATTAGGCAATTTTTTTGAAGAAAAATGCACTACTGTAGTTTGAGTAATAAAAGAGATGAAGATTGCAAAAAGTGCAAGAAACTACTATGTCCATATGGAATTCAATTGAAAAGCACAGTCCTCAACAAAAAAGCACAATCAGAACAACAAGTGTCAGGAACACTGGTGCTTCAAGTAGAACCCACAAATATATTAGTACAAAATACACAAACAGCCCAAGCCTGCTACAGGGATCATGTGGGCCATCTAGGACTGATAATGGCTATGTAGAATCTCAAAACCATGATAAGTGGTAAAAGATTATGATAAGTAATCAAACAGCAGAAACTGTGGAAAGGCAAGACAAGGACAACATTGAGCTAATACTTACTTGCTCAGAAGGGTCAAGTACACATAGTTGGTTTGTGATTCCTTTGCCTGTAGAAAAAAAAGTATGATTCAGGCATAAATATTGGATGAAATGAAAGTATGTCATAAAACATGCTTAATAGAATAGCACATCTTGCTATATAAGATAATTGATGAATCAACTACATGCCTGCAGTCTCTTCTCCCAATCCTCACCATAAAGGCTACTCAAAACTGATCCAACCTTGACCAGAAACTGATGAAGTTCTTTATAAAATTCATCAATGCTGCAGAGATGATTAAAAATTAGCAGATGATCTGTAATTGCCAATTCTTCAAATGATCCGAGTGAATGTAAAAAAAAAAATTCAGAAAAAGCAAAATACTTGAGTCTTGCCGCTCTCAAAATTTGACATAGCGTAAGTCTCTGCTTTGTGGGGCCACCTTTCTCATTAAGCCTTCTAACTAAGTAAAGAATAAATGCGAACCAATACCTTTCTGCTTCATCCGGCTGATAACACAATACATTTATAAAAAAAAACTTCATGACAGAGTGAATTTACAAGAATGTCTGACGTACGTTCAATTAAAAAAAAAGAAAAGAAAAAGTGAGTGGACAATCGGGAAAAAGGGGAGTTTTTACAAGAATGACTATCAGTACGTTCAATTAATATGACATTAAGACATTAAAAAAAAAAGTGAGTGGACAATCGGGAAATAGGGGAGAAAACTCGCTGAAGCATATTACGCACAGTCCCAGTTCCAAGAGCAGATATGTTAGCCAACATAATACTCTTGCTTTCATCAAATAGCTTCGTCGCTTGTGCCAAAAAGTTGTCGCCATCCAACAACAGATTATTCTGAGATAGAGGGTGGCAGGCCAATTAATGTTACATCAGAAAAAATCGATGAACCAACATCGAATCATGTGTAATTAATTTGGGAGGAAATACAAACTATGACCAAAGTAAGCTCAAATATTCCTTTCATTAGAATTGTAAGGAAAGTGTTTACACTAAAAAGGTTGAACAGTAAAATAAATTTGACAATATTCAATGTCTGTTTGTTAAATTTTCAACCTTTGGAGCAGTAAAACTTTTCAACAAATTAGTTTGAAATGATCAGACTATTTAACCATAAATAGAAGAGGAAAAAAAAAAAAA